CTCCAGCCAGGCCACCTCCCCCATCTCCCTGCACAGCTTTGGCTGCCGACAGCTCTCCCCATGCAGGGCTGCTGCCCAGCTTTGGGAGCCACGGCCAGCACGGCCCAGCAAAGCCCTGACTCTCCAGGGATGCAGCCCTGGGCACTCGGGGCTTCAGGGCTTTGGCACCTGCTGCCCACCCTCACCCTTTCTGCTGTTCTGCCTCCCTCGCCCAGGCCTGGGACCACGTTGGAACGGACATGTACGGCCATGTCTGCTACAGAGACATTCACATCCTGATCCTGGGACGGCTGCTGGGATGTCTCATCCTCTTGCAGTCTTCCAGTGAAGCAACAGCCCTTCTGGCTTCACACGCTCTTCGTTTTCTCCAGAAATTCATGAGGAATCAAGCCAGTAAGACAAGTTGGGGTGGGCTCCATCCCTCGGCACACAGACACCTTCTGATGGGTCTGCATCTCCTCCTGCCCTCCCTTGCCCTCACAGCCACTTCCACCGGCGTTTTGCTGCAGAAGATGAGTGCTCTCCTGAAGGCCACTTCCCTGTTAGTGAAGAGCACATCCATCTCTGCAGAACCCCGGCCACCCCCACCAGTGCTTGTAGCGAGAAGCTGTTCCTGATGCCCTCCAGAAATCTCCTCGACCACTCGTGTCCTGCCATCTTGCAGGCAGATCTGAGGGGGGTTGGTAAGCTTGCCGGCAAAGCTGCCGTGTCTCATTGGCTCTTGTGTGTTTGCCCCGCTGTTTAGGCCAGAGCTGCGACGGGCTGTCTGGGGACCCCCGGGGCAGACGTGGGAGACCTCGGAGGCGTTTAGGGATGACTTCCCGGTGCCGTAGCGGGGTTCCGACCAAGGCCTTCGGTGCCGTGAAGGCGGCGTTTGGGATCTCGCATCAGGTTTTGGCGTCTCTGGCACCTCTTGGGCCACACTGGGTGGGGACAGCGCCTTTCTCCAGAGAAGAAGACTCCCCAGCCTCCCTGGCAGCCTGGGCCAGGGCTCCGTCACCCTCAGATGAAGAAGCTCTTCCTCATCTTCAGCTTCCTCTGCTCCACTTTGTGCCCGTTGCCCCTTGTCCCGTCGCTGGGCTCCACCCATCAGGGAGGGCCCGCCCCTGGCAGAAGGCTCACCCTCGCCTC